TCAAATATGCAATCAAGATGCATTGATGATTATTGGCGATTGGAAGGCAAAAGTTGGAAACAAGGAGCAGTAGTTGAAAAATAATAGGGTCTTGTTGATAGAAACTAAGCTGGAGATGGCATGATAGAATTTTATAAGACCAACCGCTTGTTCATAGCAAATACCTTTTTAAACAACTCTTCCAATGGAATACACTGAAATCAAATTGACTTCATCTGTGGGCAGAGAGGATGGGGAAACTCAATATCAGTTAAAACCAGGTCAGGGGCTGACTGTGGAACAGACCACCAATTGTTCATCTGTAAGTTCAAGTTGAAGCTGAAGAAAATTAAGACACGTCGACAAGAGAACCAAAAATATCACCTTGAGTCTGAATTTTGGAATACCTGAATTTCGAGAACATCCCAAGAATAGATTTACTGCATTGAACGCTAATGACAGAAAACCTGATGAACTATGGGACACCATCAAGAACATCATTCATGAAAAAAGCAAAAATTAATTAACAAAGAAAGAAAAGATCCAAGTGGATTTCAGAAGAGACTCTGAAACTTGCTCTTCATTGTACAATAGCTAAGGCAAATGAAAGAAAAACCCTGGTATTTTCACTTGCCTCATAAGCCTGTGAAAGTTGGACACTGAATAAAGACCAAAGAAAAATCTATGTGTTTGAATTACGGTGCTGGTGAAGAATATGGGAGGTACCATGAACTGCCAAGAACCAACAAATCTATTTTTGAAGAAGTACAACCAGAATGCTCCTTAGAGACAAGGTTGGGCCCACTTCCTCTCATTTTGGACATGTCAGGAGAGACAAGTCCCTGGAGAAGGACATCACACTTGGTAGAGTAGTGGGGCTGCACAAAAGAGGCAGGTGCCTGAAAAGCTGGATGATGCAGTGGCCACACCAGCGCGCTCAAACATAAGGATGCTGTTGATCAGGCAGTTTCATTCTGTTTTGCACAGGGGCACTAGGGGTCAGAACTGACTCCATAGCACCTAATAAGATCATATGAATGTTGAGCTCGTGTGACCATGGTAACGAATTATTGAACACAACAGCGAACTAGAGAGTGCCATTAGTAGGATAGTGAACAGGTTGGAGGGTAAAGGAGGTCTGATCTTAGCTTCGTAGAAGTCAGCCGTAGGCTGCTGATGGGGATCTCCTTCTTGCTTGTAAAGTTAGAGGAGGTCAGATGCTGCTGCCATGTCATTTTTACAACTACTCTGGCTGTAGTTTCTGTTTTTCCCATGCTGAAATGGATTTTTTTAGCCACAAGGTATGTCATCTGAGGGTGTCTTGTCTTTTACTGTCCTTGTTACTTGCATTTACTTTTCTTCTTTCTTACTCCCACTTATTCATACCCTTTGTCACATCTTTTTCCCCTTTTCACCATACTTCTGTAGCACTGTCCACTCACATTATCTTATATTGCCAGTATTCTAAGTTTTCAGTCTTTTTTGTAGTGTCTCCCTCCCCTTCACCCTCCTTTTTCTCCCATTGTTTCAGGAGCCCTGGTACGATAGTGGGTTATACATTGGGTTTCTAACCACAAGATCAGCAGCTCAAAACCACCAGCCACTCCTGGGAATAAAGATGAGGTTTTCAACTCTCATAGAGAGTTATAGTCTTGAAATCCCACAGGGGCAGTTCCGCTGTACCTTCCGGGGTCTCTATGACTTGGAATAGACTCGATGGCGGTGATTTGGAAATTTATGATCCTCTTTTTTCATGTAGACAGTAAGTGTTTGTTACAGGTGATTGACTTGTTGGTTGTCATGGTGCAGGCATCTACATGCTCGGGAAACAGGAGATGACAGAGGTCTGGGTGGCGGCTGAAGCAATTCTCTAGTTGTGTGATTTTGTCCCTTTGACTTTTACTTAAAGGACAAATGAACTATTTGCTTTGAGCAAACTAATGCTCTGTTTTGTGGATTTAATCATTAAAAGGGGCCCTTGAATGGAAACCCCTGGGGTTGAGTTCCTTGTCCCTGGTTGCCAGGCTGGGTATGCTCCATGTCTATACCACTGCATTGCCATTTGCTTAAGTGTGGGTTGTGAAATGGTCATGGAATTTGCCTGGGGTTTCTTCCTGGAGAGGAGGAGGAAGAAAGCATTTGGAGTAAATCTGACAAGCAAATTAGTAAGGTCCTTGGGCCTTGAAGATATTACATAACAGAGTTCAAAGATACTCAGTTGTCTGCCTTCTGCGTTTACTCTTTTTGCAGGGTGGGTTCAGTAGCCTCCCTGGCTGGTGTCACTCAGTATGTTAACTCACGATGTCACCCCTCCTGGAGGGCTAGGCCAGTCAGTGAATCACCTACTGAGGAGCCTCTTCCCTTTTCCCCCTACCTTCCAGGTGACCATAGTTACCTCATTGAGGGAAAAGTGATATTGGACTCAAGTGACATCACCGCTTTGGTGGCCCACTCTCCCCCAGCAGCCTCAGCCTGTCTGCCAATCCTGGGGGTGACTATTGAGGGGTGTGGTGATCCCACTGGGTGTGTGTAGCAAGGCAGCAATTATATATTTGCTGTAGGCCAGAGATTCTCACAGCGTCTGGTTTCAGTAGCTTTTGAGCCTCCTAAAAATAATTGATGACCTCCCCCCAAAAAGTTTTGTATTTTAAGGATTATACCTATCATGATTTATCTTTTTAAAAACTCAAACTGAGGAATTTAAAAATAATCATTCATCTGAAATAGAAAAAGAGAATTCATTACATGCTAATAAGAATTGAATATTCTTATGAAAATACCTATTTTTCAATATAAAATGTTAACACAAAGAGTGATATTTTATGAATCTCTTTAATGTCTAGTTTAATGGAAGCTAAATTTTCCTATTTGCTTCTCATTTTAATCTGTGGCAATATATTGTTTGGTTGAAGCATATATAATGGAGCACTAGGTGGTTTAATAACATTTTTTTTTTTTTTTTTTAATAACATCTTCAGGTACTTGCAAGAAGCCCCAACGGTACACTGGTTAAGTGCTCAGCAGTGCTGCTCAGCAGTACAGAGGCTGAGTGCTGCTAAGTGAAAGGTGGTTGGCTTCACTCTACTAGCTGCTCCATGGGAGAAAGAGGTAGCCGTCTGCTTCTGTAAAAGGTGTTGTTAGGTGCCATCAAGTAGGCTCGAACTCATAGTGACCCCCCTGTACAACAAGCAAAACTCCACTTGCCTCCGAGCCATCCTCACAGTTATTATGTTTGAGCCCATGTTACAGTTGCCGTGTCAGTCCTTTTCACTGAGGGCCTTCTCTTTTGCTGCACTGCTACGTTACCGAGCACGAGGTCCTTCTTCGGGGACCGGTCTCTCCTGACAGCATGTCCAAAGTTTGTGAGACGAAATCTGCCCATCCTTGCCTCTAAGGCATATTCTGGCTGTACTTGTTCCACAACAGATTTGTTTGCTCTTTTGGCAGCCAATGACCATTTCAGTTTTCTTTATTAGCACCATAATTCAAAAGGTGGCAATTCTTCAGCCTTTTAGTCAATATCCAACTTTCACATATATTTGAGGCGATAGAAAATACCATGGCTTGGGTCAGGCATACCTTTGGCCTCAAAGTAACATCCTTGCTTTTCAACACTTTGATTTAAGAGGTCTTCTGCAGCAGATCTACCCAATGCAATGTGTTGGTTGATCTCTTGGCTGCTGCTTCCTTGAACATTATTTGTGACTCCAAGCCAGACAAAGTCCTGGACAACTTCACACTTTTTCCCAGTTATTATGGTGTTCCCCATTGGACCACTTGTGGGAATTTTGGTCTTTCTTACATTGAGCTGTAATCCCTACTGAAAGCTACAATTCTTGATCTTCATCAGCAACTATCTCAAGCCCTCCTTGCTTTAAGCAAGCAAGGTTGTGTTATCTGCATATCATGGGTTGATAATAAGCCTTTTTCCAATCTTGATACCTCATTCTTTTTCATATAATCCAGCCTCTGATTATTTGCTCAGCGTACATATTGAACAAGTATGGTGAGAGGATACAACCCTGATGCACTCCTTTCCTTATTTTAAACCATGCATCATTCCCTTGTTCTTGCTGTACAACTGCCTCTTGATCTGTGTTCAGAGTTCACATGAGCACAATGAAGTGGTCTGGGATTCCCATTCTTCTCAAGGCCATCCATAGTTTGTCCACACAGTCACATGCCGTGGCATAATCAATAAAACACAAGTAAGCATCTGTCTGGTATTCTCTCCTCTGAGCCAAGATCCACCTGATATCAGAAATATCTCTGGTGCCATGCCCTCTTCTCAATCCAGCCTGAGCTTTGGGCAGTGTCTTCACAGTATACAACTGCATTGTTGTTGAATGGATCATCACCATATTTTACTTGCATGTAACAGTAATGATTTTGTTCTATCATTTGTGCCTTCTGTTGGATCATTTTTAATTGGAATGGATACAAATATGGATCACTTCCAGTTAGTTGGCTAAGTAGTGGTTGGTCTTCCAAATTTCCTGGCATAGACCAGTGAGTGTTTCCTGTGCTTCAGCAGTTTGCTGAAACATATAAATTGATATTCTATCAATTCCTGGAGACTTGTTTTGGCTAATGCTTTCAGTGCTTCCTTGCAAATCTGGGAAGTTCTTCTGCGTCCTATAGGGGTGTTATGAGTCAGGATAGAGTCAGTGGCTGTGGGTTTTGTTTGGGTTTAGGCATTTGTGGATATTCTTGAATCTTACAGTAAAACCGGGCAAGTAATATTTTCTTAAGCGTTAATAGCAATGTGGAAACTGAAACTATGTTAATGAACTTCTGTGTTCTGTCAGATAAACCTGTGGATGCTTAGTACTCTGAGTAGATCTCTTACTCCTGCATGACTTTGTAACATCATGCTTTGTACAACCTGTTTCAAATTATCCAGATCTCCCAAAGCTTGGCACCTCCCATTATATAGAATGAAAATAAATCCCTTAATATGACTTGATCTGTAAAGTCTCACCACCCCCCTCAGGGCCTGTTGTGGCCCCTGAACCCCCACCCCCACCCCCCACCCCCGGAAGGGACATACCACAGGAGGCCTGCCCGAGGTCCTGAGGGCATCCTTTCTCTCCTCTTTACGAAAGTCACACATGTTGTGGCAGGTATAACTGTGTAGAGCTGGGACAGGGGATCTGTAAAGTCTTTAAGTAATTTAAAACTATCACAGTTAAGGTGGTACATCCAACATTTTAAAAACTTATTTTTGATCGAAAACATTAATTTTTTTTTTTTCTGAAAACATTAATTTTAACATTGGTAGCAAGTATTTCAGATTATTTTCCTTGATGTGACTGGTGTCCCTTGAAGTGACAGATTCACTTCATTAATATTTGAGCAAATGTCTGTCAGCTGACCATATCAGACCAACCAACCATAGCTTGCCAGCCAATGCCTTTCTCAAGTGAAAATGGTTTGAAAGAAGTGGCTACTTCTGTCTACAACTCAAATCGCACCAACACTTTTTTTGGAGACAGCCATGTTACTCCTTAATTTAGCAGAAATGCTACATGTAGACTTCCCATTTCATCACACAGGATGTTGAAACAACTGCTTAAGATCTGACATTTAATAAAATTAAAAAAATTTAAAATGATAACATATGATAGCTTCTTAAATGATAGTGAAACTAATCTTCTTTCTTTTTAAATTGTGAACGTGTGGGAGTAAAGAATATAGTGGCTAGTGAGTGAAGTTTTGTGCCCTTGGCCTAAACTTCTACGCAGGCACTTGTAGTTCTACTCATTGTTCCATTTTAACTATCAGACCAAATGTCAACCCAGTGAGAAAAGCAAGAAAAAAATGTAATTGTGAGATACTTGATCTTGACTGTCTCTCACTGAACGACTGAACTAGACCAACTAGGAAGATCTGAACAGTTAAAAATTCAATAAATTGAAATTACTGTTCATGTAGATTGTATTGTATTTTGGAGGCACATGCAACATCTCTTTTTCTTTTGGAGGGAGAGGCCCTAGAACATAGTGAATGCTGACTGCTACAGAGGTGAGTTGTGGGGGGAGAACGGTTACCGCCATAGCACCATCTGCTTTGTACGTTTATGAAGAAAACCTTTAAAAATAACCTATTGGAGGTTAACATGTGAAAATGCATTTCTGTCAATTAGCCTATTTACAAGCCTTTGATCATCTCATGTTTGTATATTTTTTATTTTTAGAAGGTAATATGCTTAATCCTTGAATCATTGACCAGTCTCCCAAATAATAACTTACCTTCAATAATGTCTGGACTTGGGGCAGTAATTAACTGATCATGTAACAGGAGAATCCCAATTTTCCAGTTTCTTGCTTTTCTTTCTATTTATTTTTAGCTTCTTGGGTGGTTGGGGCACATGACTGAAACAATTATTACATTTATTCCAGAGTTTGTCTTTTCTATTAAAAAAAATCCATCTAAGTGCCTCACGGTGAAGAGTAGGAGGTTGTGTAACTGGAGTCTCCTCTTAACTGCTCCTTATTGTTCAAGAAGACTGATGCCTTTGTGTTTGAGCTTGGCACACTGAAACAGTTTTAATTTAACCAGCCAGCTCTTTTAATAGATCAATTCTCTATTGTGTGTTGAATTTGGTACTCTCCCAGTTGACTCTGTAAACCAGGGACTTCTTTGGAGAAATGAACCTGATGTCAAAGAGGTTTAGTTATTTTGGGTCCGATTAGTAGTTTGATCCCAAACTTCTTATTAATAACCATTAAAGAGGGAGGTACCAGGTGTTGCTAAGGAGCTGCTATTATCATACGTTCCCAAACGTATTGCTTTAACTTTTCAGAAAAAAAGTTGCTCAGGTCCCCCTTGATCTTTAGTAACTTTTGTACTGTAGCCCATAATCTAGAATAAAGTATAGCCTCCTTGGATTGTTCCAGGATCCCCGCCAGGGGGTGGCTCACTTTGGGAAGCACTGTTTAGATGCTCTACTAGGTGTTGTATATACCCTCATTTAATCTATTTTCGGACCCTTCGCCAACCTGAGCACCGTTCTCCACCTCATTTTGCGACCCTTGGCCTAGTCATTATTGCAGCTTTCCTGGACTTTGTTCTTCTTTTATTCCCCCAAACTGCACAGTTTTTTATTTACGTTTTTTTTCTTGTGAATTAAATGTGGTTTTACATTTCAATTGATCGTTTTTTATTCAACAATGTAAACAACTTAAAGCTACCAGTAGTTTGTGTGTTATCACTCCCCCATTTTGAATTCTCTCCTTCCTCGTTTAGAATATTGTCTTACTCCTTACACTAGTCTCTTGCCTACCACCCTGGCAATCATCCAAGTCAGTTTCTTTTGGTATGATAAAACATTTATCTTGGTTTTCTATTTTATAAAAATGGTCTCCTACACTAGATGTCCTTTTGTGATTGACTCAGTTCACTAAGTGTAATGTTCTCCAAATCCATCTGTCATGAAATGTTTTTCACAGTTTTCATCATTTTATTCCAGTGTGTGTGTATGTACCAAAGTTTATTTCTCCATTCTTCCACTGAAGGGCATTTTCGTGGTTCCTAATTTCTTGCTATTGTGACAGTTGTGCCATATGAGCCATGCTGTAAGTACGACGGCTCTTATTTTTTTAGGATTTATACCAAGTAGAGGGGCTGTTGAATCATATGACATTGCTATTCCCAGTCGTTTAAGAAAGCGCTCTGTTGTGTTCAGTAGTGGCTGTACAGTTTTACAGTCCTACCAGCAATGTTTGAGGGTTGCAATTTCACTGAATCCTTATTTTCTGGTTTTTGAACTTTGCTATCAATGCTTGTCACTGTGAACCAGCTGAGGTTTTTTTTTTTAATTGGTTTTATCACTTCTGACTCATATCGCCTCCCTGTGGGTTTCTGAGAATGTAACTGTTGATGGGGACAGAAAGATTAGCCTTTCTGCCACAGAGCTTCTGGTGGCGGTTTTGAACTGCATGTAGATTGCAGCCCAGCTCTAACCACCATGCCACCAGGACTCCTGGCATCATTGCTGGTATGAGGTGTTAATCATTGTTTTGACCCACATCTATTGAATGGCTAGTCATTGTGGACATTTGTTTATATTTGTTGGCCACCTAGATGTCTTCTTTGATGAATTGTTTATGTCTTCTTCCCATTTTTGATGGTGTTTATCTTGTTGAGGTATTGTGGTTTTCTATAGATTTTAGAGAGTAGTCGTTTGTGTGATATATATCATTGCCAAAATGGTTTTTCACTCATTTATGGATTCTCTTTTGATGAAGTCTTTTTATTTTTTTATAAAATCATTTGATGCACATTAAGTATCTTATTTTTAATAGATCCTTGATATCTGTTTCATCTTCTGCTGTGTGTGTGATAATTCTTTATATTTGATATTGTGTTTATGCTTTGTATTAGGGCTCTTAAGTTTGTCCCTAGTTTTTCATTGATGAATTTTATTGTTCTAGGGTTTATATTTAGGTTTTTGATTGCTCTTGAGTTCACTTTTGAATATGAAGTGAAGTATCGGTCCTGTTTCATTCTTCTGTAGTTGAAATCCAGTTTTTCTGACACCATTTGTTGAAGAGGCTGTCTCTTCTTCGTTTAAGATATTTTGCCCCTTTATCGAAAAATCATTTGTTTTTAGGTGGATGGATTTATCTCTGAGTTCTCCATTCAGTTCCATTGGCCTACAAATACATTGTACAAGTACCAGGCTGTTTTGGACCACTCTAGCTGTGTAATAAGGTTTGAGGGTTGGGATATGAGAGGCCTCCTACTATGTTCTTCCTATTGAGGACTTTGCTTATCCTGGGCTTCTTTCCTTCCCACATAAAGTTGATGATTAGCTTCTGATTAAAGAATGATACTGGAGGGTTGGTGTGGGGGAACGATACTGGGATCTAGATCAGAAATGTATTAGATTTATAGATTGGTTTGAGTAGTATTGACATTTCACAATGTTAAGTGTGCCTGTCCAAGAACATGGAACATTCTTCCCTTGTGGCCATGTCTGTTGATTTCTTAAGGTCATGTTTCATAGTTTTCTTTGTACAAGTATTATTTTGCTGATTTGTTTTTTTCCCAAAGTACTGTATTTCATCTTTCGGGTGACTGTTGTCAATGGTATAGTTTTCTTGATTTCCTTTTCAGAACTCTCTCTGGTTCTTTACAGGAATCCGAATGATTTTTGCATGTAAGCCTTGTACCCTGCCATATGCCAAAGCTTTCAATTATCCCCAACAGTTTTCTTGTGGAGTGTTGGAGTTTTCTACATATATAATCATATCATCTGCAAGTAGAGAATGTGTTACTACTTCTTTGCCAATTTGGATGCCTCTGATTTATCTTGTTGTATAATTGCTCTGGTGATAAAAGCTATCTTTGTTACCCTTCAAAGAACCAACTTCTTGTTGTTTTCCTATTGCTTCTGTTGCCTGGCTCATTTATTGCTGCTGTAATCATCATTTCTTTTAGTGACTGATGTTTTCTTTTGTTGTGCATTTTCAAAGCTGTTACTTAATGTGTTGATTTTTCTTTTTGCTTCTTTTTTGACTGGGTGTGCTTACTACCCTCTGACGACTGCTTTTGCTATGTCCTCAAAAGTTCTGTTATGCTGGATTTTGTTCTTATGTATTTCCAAGAATTTATCAATTTAATTTCTTTTTTAAAATTTAATTTCTTGGATTTTCAATTACCCAGCAGTATTTAAACAGAGTGCTGTTAAATTTCTACATATTGGAATGTTTCCTTGCTTTTATTATGATTGATTTCTAATTTTGTAGCATTATGATCTGAGAAAATTGCAATATCTCAGCGTTTTAAAATTTATTAAGGCTTGCTTTGTGGCCTAACCTATCCTCTTTTCTGGAGAATATATGCAGTAGAAAAGAATGTATATTGAACAAGTGATGAATAGAGTATTCTGAATTTGCCTAAGTGGTCAAGTTGAGTAATTATCACTCTTCTGTGTCTTTTTGAAGTTTTTTCCAGGTGTTCTGTCCTTTCCTGAGAGCGGTGTCTTGCAGTTTCTTACTATTATTGTAGTGTTACCTGTGTTTCTTCAACGCTGTAAACAGAGCTTGATTAGTGAAATTTGAGGGCTTTCACTGGGTGCATTGATGTTACGTAATTGTCTCTTTAATAATTATGTAATGCCTCTTTATTTATCATGATAGATTT